GTATTCAGAAACCTTGAAAGAATCTAACTTTGCTGATTCTACTAATCTTGAAAAGGCTATCTTGAAAGCATGTAATATTGAGTATTGAAATGCTGGAACGGTAGAAGATTGGAATGTGTTTTCTATAACCGATATAACTTCATGCTAACAAGTACATTTGTATTCAATTTGGGTTCGTTGATACCTCATTAATGTCGATCGTATCAAGTCTTGGCTTTGCATACTTCGCTATGGGTGAACCAACTGGCAGGGTTGGAATCCTTCGGAACTCCAAGATTTAGGGTTGACTTAAGTTCGTTGGGTTTTCCCTTGGATATTTTTGACACAAACACCTTGGCAAACAATCTTTGATATTTTTGAATGAGTTTGAATCTATTTTTGATTTTATCGAATATTATATACTTGAAAATGGCTTTGAAAAAGCAAATATTTGAGTAAACTAAAGCTTTTTGTCAGAGTTTAAAACGTCAGAACATAGATTGAAAACTCTACGCTAGGAAATATATACACCCAGTTGTGGATCGAAATAGGCCAATCAGAAACCCGAGCACATGACTGTATAGGTTGACCAATCAGTGCCGTTTGCCTATTGAGAATGTTACCAATGGAGTCCTAAGGTGAAAACGAACTCCTTTTGTCTACACAATAGCGGTTTCGTCGTGCTTATGTAGATAGATTCCAAAACTGCTAGATGGAGCGACGACCGGGCTTTACCAATAACCCGAAACACGTCGCCGTTATAGTTTTTTGCACAATCTGGGTTTTTCAGTAAATACTGCTCGATAGCAGAGTCGCAGGTTTTAGTTGTACTTTTAGATCTGCAAAACCGAGGTGGCTGTTCTCTTTGCGGACGAATTTTGTTTCTAATATCAGACTGAACATGTTGTTTTATTCTATCCTCCAATCTTTGGGTAGTGCGTCCTACGTAGCCAGAATCACACTGGCACGTAAAATTCGTATACAACGGAACTCTTTCGTTTGGTAGGAACGCAATCCTTTTGGATGGAGGGAAGGGCCTTTTTGTACCATAAACAATGCATGGATTTACGGCAAAGAAAGAATTTGTGACAACCTGTTTTATCTGTTTTTCGAAACGCAAGGAACTGTTCCCGATCCAAGGTAGTTTTCAGATAGACGGGGCACTTTCGAGGACCAAATTTTACGTCAGCCGAGAAATTTCCTATCTTCACCTTAATGTAAACTGAATTTAACATGCTCTGGATAGCCGTTCTCCAGAAAAATCTTGTTTAGTTGTTGAAGTTCCGAGTCGAGTTTAGACTTGGAACAAATCATCAGTGCCCTATGTTTAAGCGTTTGGATGAGGCTGATTTTTCTTTGTTTTGGGCAAAATTAACTCAATCAAGTGTATAACCTCGAAAATGTTGGTTTACGGTATACAATTTTAAGAAATCCACCAACCAAAACATCTAGAAATGACAAGGTGTTTCTTCCTTTTCAAATGTGAACTGTAGGGCTGGGTGAAGGCCATTGAGGCGTTTTAGGAAAGTATCACACCATAGTGATCACACTCAGCCTCTGTTTTGAAGATAGTATATATGTCCTACAAGTCTCGAAAATAGACACCTGGCTTTTGGTCAGGGGCGAATCCAGAGCAAACTTGAAAGAGGGGAAGTTGGTAGTGGGGGCGCTGAAAAATTTTCAAAAAATTGATGACGAGAAAGCGCTGTATATAACAATTTCAGATACATTTTCGGAATAAACAACATAACTTTGAAGTAATCCTTGAAGCAAATTAACCTATTGGTCTCAGAAACTTTTTCACCTGATTCTTATTCTTCAAAAGGGGCGCACAATTTCCAAAAAAGGGGCGCCATACTTGCTTGAACTCGTCGAAAGAGGGGCAACTGCCCCCCCTGAAATCCCCTACTGCTTTTGGTCGCAGTCAAACAAACGCTCTTCATGAAAGCCAACAAAGATGTTGACCAAGGCTGCTCCCAGAGGGCTACCCATAGCGACACCATCCTTTTGTTGGTACATTTTATTGTTAATACTGAATGGAACTGAACGTATCGCAGTTTCCATTAGTTCAATGAATACTTCCTCTGGGAATTAAATTTGCTCCGGTACAATGCGTTGGCACATATTTTCATAGTCTCACTCAAAAGAACATTTGTGAAAAAACTACCAATGTCAGGCGCGGATGTAGCCAAAATTTTGACCGGTTTCGGGGTCCTTTACCCCCATTACAGCCAGGGAGATATGCAGCAATTGTGGGGGTTCTGTAGTCAGTCAGGGAGATATGCAGCAATTGTTGCAATTGAAATTTAGATAAAAATTTCAAGATTTACAGAAAAACATAGCTCTTAGAATTTGACCGGCTTTTTTAAACCTGTGCAACCAGCCTAGATCCGCACCTGAATGTCGAAAGAACACATGAAAGATGCTTTGTTTTCGATTTTCAAGTTTTGCATGAACTCAGCGAACGTAAAAGAATCCTTTATACACCGTTTTGAATATTTTTGAAGAACAGGTTCCAAAATTTCAGAAATTTTGTGCTGAGCCAATCATAAACAAGATGGGTTTATGTGGAGCATTCGGCTTATGTATTTTAGGGAAGCCATACATTTGTGGACATTGCGAACCGGTGGGTCTTATCCTATTGTAAACTTCGTTAGTCAACACTTTTGAGTTAACCAGCTCCAAAAGGCGTTTTTGAAGTTTCCGCTCTAGCTTGGCCGTTTTATCCTGTGTTTCGACGTCACCGTGTTTTTCGAACTTTTCCTTATCGATTAGAATATTCTTCATTTTTTTGGATGTAGTCCTTTTTGTTCAAAATAATCACTCCTGACCCTTTATCGGGCTTTGTGATAAAGATGTCATTATTAGACCATAGAGATTTGAATGCTTGAAAATGTTCTCTATGCAAAAGAAAATCTGAGTGGTCGATGGGAGAGCCGCTGTAAGCGTACGCCAAATCGCTTAGTCGGCACTGATTGGTCGATCTTAATATTCATGTGCTCGCTTTTCTGATTGGCCAATTTCGATCCACAACCGGGTATATATATTTCCTAGCGTAGAGTTTTTATCTATGTTCCGAGGTTTTAAACTCTGAAGAGTGTCAGACGAGAAGCTTTAGTTTACTAAATGTTTGCTTTTTTCAATGCCATTTTCAAGAAGAAAATTTTACCTCACCCTGTAGTATAATTGCTACTTACCTACCAACAATTGTAACATATTAACATAAATGTAGCAATTAACCTTCCGCAATAAAGCACTAAAGTATGAATTTGAAATATATTCATGCACAACAGCAGCATATAAGTCTGTTTATTTCCATATTCTGAACGAATAAGACGCGCCATATTTTTGCCGGGAAATATCATTTCTGCAACCTTATGAATAAAATGTTTTGGCTCCGCCCCTGTTGAGAAATAATTGCTAGCTAAGTGGACTTTAGAAAAAGTTGCTTTTGATTCAACAAATATTGTTAGGTCTGTTGATACATTTTTGGCCAAGTTCCTTTGAAAAAGGATGAATTGTCAACCATGCGTAAACATTTAGATGTAGACATGAATGAAAAGATGCTTCTTTGGCAGCAGATGTTTATTGCAAGAAACATTACAAGATACGGTCAAAAGAAAAGCAAATGTATACGGGTATAGAAAAGAAAAAAGAAGTAGTAAGAGCTTCTTGAGGGCACATGCTGCTCCTGAATTTGTTTGAAGTGCCAAACAAAAGAGGTACCCTTGTGGTACTAGAATAAGAAAGGGGGCACTACTCCAAGCACATAAAAAGCTATTGTAATCCTGATGTCATGCCCTTTTTCAAACCTCTCAGCATTGTTCTGATCCACCAAAAAGGCTGTCATGTTCAGAGAGGAACAAAGTTTTCCCTTCAACACACCCTTATGGCCCAGCCTCCACTGCAGACCATTTGGTGGGCTCCATCTATTCCCCTGCCCCAAAAAGAAAACCCACACAATTTATAGATGGATTTGCCCACCATTTCTAGATGCCCCTCATCCAGGCTTTATCGTTTCACTACAATGCAACTGCTATACCAGACTGTAAATGGGCAACCCATAGCTGACAACGAAACAATGACAAACTGATAATAAATAACGTCAATTTGAAAATAAATTATTCTCTAAGCTTTCTATGATATTGGTTAAAATTAAACTATTTTATGTTATTTTACATCTATTTAAATTTTAAGCTATTAATGAGAAAGAACTTGATATTACTTTTACTGTTATTTTGAAGTTAACTTTAAACATTTAATTACAAAAGCAAAATGATATCAAGATAACAAAATAATAATATATAATTAAGGAAATTGAGATTGCTCTAAATATACGTAAGTGACCTAGCCAAAATGTTAGTAAATTGAAGTATCAATAAAAATTAATATAAAATAAGACATAAACACAATAGCTTTTACTGTCCACGGAAGGGTTGCAGTCGAAGAAACAAAGGTACAACATAAAAACAGCATTTTATTAATACAGGGATTGAGAGAGGATAGCGGATAGAAGGGAGGATAGGTCCAGATAAGGTTAGATTTGAAAAAAAGAAAAATGATAGGAGACGAAAGAAGATGCAGAGACAACAACAGAAACAGTTTAACACAAGATAAAAAAGAAAGTCACTAGAAATGAAAGATGCAGGAAGAGAAGAGTGTTACACGTTACAACATAGAACAAGCACGACACTACCAAGCATTCACTAGAGCTACACAAGCGAGGTTCAAGTTGGTGAAGCGTCAATAATGCACTTCTAGATACCATCTGAACATTTACTTGTTTCACTAAAGTAAAGCCTAAATTATAGGACATATAAACACAGCAAGGAAGATATGCTAAATCTGTACAGCTGGCATTATTGCATTTGTCGTGAAACTTTCATCCTTTCAATGAGAAGACATCTGATGGCCTGCTAGTTGGTCCCCCTTTCTACTTCCAAAAAACGTTATCACATTGCTGTGTTGAATAAAAGTTGGATCAGGCTTTTCAATGGGGGACCATAGAAGGCAATGGGGCCAGCAGCACTCTGTGCCACTATTAGACACCGAATGCTGACAAGGTGCGTTGAAGGTGCATATTTTGTTCCTCTCGGCATATTTGCTGGGTAGACGAACGACAGGAAGTCTTGAAATGACTGAGCCATGCATGCCTCGGTCATTACAAAACTAGTTGACGTTCTTCTGCCCAGCAAATACACGGGTTGTACTTCTTCGTGGATCAGAACAAACGATTTAACTAGGGGCATGACATCATGGATTATACTTTGTAAAAGTGATTGGATTGTGCCCCCTCTCCATGTTTTTAGAAAAGTGTGCCCCAGAAATTGAGTATCAGTGTGCCCTTAAGAGGCCCTATCTGCTTCATGAAAATACACAACAAGGGTAGATTTTTGCTAGGGTAAAAAATATGGAATCTCATCTGCTGCCATTTTTTATTTTTTAATGTTTTTTCTTCATCTTTAAACTTCGGTACTTGCTTTGCCCATCCAGAAAGTGTACGAAATGCCACAGCTCTCCAATCTTTTACCGCTATAGCATTCTCTTTTTCTTGAAATCTGAAATTGAAAAGACTGTTTTTACATGAAGTCATTGCAGTCTTTTCTGCCAAAAAAGTATTAATGCATTGTGAAGGCAGTGCAAAACTAAGTAATAAATATTACCTACCTTTCATTTAAGAAGAAAGCCTTTTTTAAACCCACAAAAGCCCCGCGAGTTTTGCTTCCCTGTATTCTTTGTTGAACCTTTGGTTGTGTTTTCGCTGCTCTTCTTGCTTTGATTGCCATCTGTAATTTGGCTAGAAGAAGCCTGTGCTTTCTCCTTCTCAGCGGCCTGTGCTGCTGCTGCTTCGGCCTCTTCTTCCTCTTGAAGTTGAGCCTAAAGTTGACATTGGTATGTATTTTATATGTTATGAATCGATATTTGTTTCTAGAATTCTAAGCTTTGGTAAATCTTTTCAATATGTCTGAATTTGTCTCTTTTAGCACATAGGGTGACATTAAGGACAGTTTTTGGAAAAAATCTGAGTTCCATTGTGTTATTTAACAAATAAAGAAAAACGAATCATAACATTTTTTTCAGTCTTCTTACAACTTCCATGAAAAATCAAAAGCATATGTTCGCCATCAGAAGATGCTATTTTTACACATAATTTATGCAATTTGTTAAAGGGGAAAACAACTGGATGCATACTTGAATTTAGATTATATTGGATCAAGAACATTTGCTAAGAAATTTTGAATCGGTAACAATTGCCCTTCTCTGTTGAACATTGCTCCTCTCTCAGGCTCCGAACTTTCCAGTTAGCTTTTAATGTAAATTACAATTAACTTGTTATCTTTTGTTCGTTCAGTAGACAATTAGAATTTCACCCAATTCTGCATGGCTAGCGAGTTATTATCTTTAAATATTGAAGAAAGCTTTTGTGTTGAGAATGCTCACCTCTCGTTGCTCTTCCCGCCAGTTGTCATACCAAAGGTAGGCGGCGTAACCAACCACTCCAAACGTGACTGTTGTTTGGACGACTTTCCAGAACGTGTTCATTTGTAGGTTTTGCAAATAGCCAACGTCTTTGGTACAAAGTATTTTTTCTTAATAAATGTTTGCGTTAATTCTGCAACTTCTTTCGTAGATGTTTCCAAATATTTTCTAGTCGAATAAGTAAATAGTCGTGTGCCTGTGCTACTCTCGATGCGAAGACTAATGTGAGACTAAATATCTGCACATTATATTCTTCATTTCTTTCGATATGACGTCATATTAAAGCAACGCGATATAGATAGGAGGTTCATCTTGACGTATGTTGAGAATTAGGTCTCGTTCTCATGATAACAAATTGAGTCAAAATTGTATATACAGATTCTGATTTTTATCCCGTTGCTTTCTATGGTTCCTACATTAGGGCCACAAATTAGGGTGCAGGGAAGAAAAAACTGTAGCCTTTTCTGATGCTTATTCGAGAAGGGAATCTTGGCAGAGCTTTTTAAAAACGTTTGTTATTTTTGTTGTTCTTCCAGCACTTGTCTTTCTTCTACTACTTTTAACCAAGCATAAAGCTTGAAATGCATCTAAGTCTTCCAGTTTTATGTCGCCTCTTCTTATTGTTCAGTTTACAATGGAAGACATTCAAACTAATTCATTATTTTGAAATTTTAGTCAGTGCAAATCAGTTGAAAGTAAAATCTCGCATGGTTTTCGCCACGTCCGCAAATTTTCGAATAAAAAACTAGCAGATTCATGCAGGGGCGTAACTTGGCCAATAGGTTTGGGGGGGTGAAAAGGGTTTCTGCCCTGCAAAACTGAGTGGTGCCCTGCAGACCTCGTAGCAACTGTTTGTCTATAGGTTACTAGTGAAAGCTTTACCAGTGTACACTGGTCTTTACCAAGGACAAACTTCTAAGCAATAAAAACAAACTTGAAACTTCATTGCCTATGAAATATCTATTTCTCTACTTGAGCGTAAATTGTTTCTTTTATATTCACTTTATTTAATGTTGGTTTGCAAAATACTAGCTAATAAACAGCTAATTGGGGGGGAGGGGGAGGGTACATGATGTAGACAGTGCAACGAAATTTAGCCCAGTGGGGCTAAGAATCAAGTTTAGTGAGGTAGGAGGACCCACCGGTTGGGTCCGACGTGAAGAAAATTTTTGAAATTATACCTTGTAAAAGGGCTAAAAAGCATCTTTCAGACAAAAATTTAGCAAAATACTATTGTGCTAAAAGAACTGATTGTTTATTGAAAATATTATTGTTTATTGGGAAAAATAGGGAGGGGGATGTCATGCTAAAACTCTAGTATTAGACGTTGGGGAAGGAAAGAAACGACAACCTTTCGTTTCAGATTGCACGTAGTTGTGAATGACAGAGGAAGATGTTGTTTTGATTGGGGGAATTTTATTTCCTGAACAGAAATGTGCAGTTTCTTGCATCGAGAAGGCCATGTTTACACATCCAAAATTAAAACATTGCAATGATACAGAAAGTGATTTACTGAATTAATGCAAATAAAAGAATAATAATAAAAATATACGTGAAAAAGTTAGCAATTATATGAAACAAAATCGGTATCTTAACGATTTATTATGTTTTTTAGTTCATGCACTGTTAAAAAGTAATAAAGAAAATGATAAAAAAATTCTTATCTTGACCAAAGTGAGGGCCTTCAGCCTCTTATTCCCCTCCAGTGACGCCGTGCTTGTCATGAAAATAATTTACAACTTAAATTAACTTGTATGGACTCAACCTTGCCCTCATAAACATATGCATCAATCATTGCATCCATTGGCTATGATTTTCCGTAAGAAATGCTTTCGCTTTGCAAATAACGGAGCTTTTCCTTACATACCTGTTCCGTTCTCTAAAATGCAATGTCAGGAAGGGAGGTTCATAACAAATACGATATTTCCATTTCAAAATTCCTAAACGGCCCTTTACGAACTTCAGAGGTGGAATTTCTGCGTGGCAATAAAGCTCTTCTTGGCGCCCTGCGAAATCTTCGATTGCCCTGCGAAATCGACTATTTTTTGGATTGGGGGGGTGTCACACCCCCCACACCCCCCCGGTAGTTTCGCCCCTGGATTCATGCCACGCCAATGTATTTTTGCCAAACTTTTCCGATTTTTTTAGATTTTGAAACTTGATGGGCGCTTGAAACCAAACGAAGCGTGTGTCCTAGAGAAGCTCTTACTACTTACTTACTCTTTTTTATACTCTTTTCCATTATTGAAAATCCTGTGTAATGTTTCTTGGGATAAATGTCTGCTGCCAAAACAGCGGAAAGTACCGACGGAAAAGGTATACTGCAGGCCTGGCGCCAGAAATTACAGAGGCCCAAACCTATTGGTAGCTAGTTGTGTGGCTGCTTTAATTGCTGGTTAATAATCCTGGCCTGCTTGTTATGCCAGTTCGCGACTAGAGCCATTCCTAGCTCGCTGCTCCGGGAGGCCCACCTGAAGCCACAGGATGGTTGAAGGGTCTCTCTCATGCATTCAACTAGCTGCTGGTTCTGATATTGTGAATAAGCCAATCATCTCCAATCTTTTCTCTAAATATGTTTGCCAGTAAAAATCACCTGCACACATTGATGTGGTTTAAAGGATATAAAAACATTTGGCGTAAGACAATTTATTGCGTCTAACATACATTTAAAATATTGCATCCAAAGCCATTTGCCTCATCAAAAACCTCACCAAGTCTCTTCAGCCTCTTTCCGATCGACACTGATCTTGCAATTTTTATAGATTATACCACGATCGTTGCTCTCTGGAGATCAAAGACATGATCCCGGGTCCCCAGGAAAATGTACGCAATACTAGACATTCTAACAGTACTCAACCTTTTCAAGTCTCTTTGTCAAATGCACGAACTCAACTCCACTCTTCCTTTCTACCTAGATCTTGCAAACTTTCTACCTCTTCCTGCTTCCCAAACTCTCAAAACCTGTCTTTATTCCAAACAGAATAAACAAGCTCGATCTTTCCCCTCTCTTTTCCTAATCCCTCCTAATCTCTTTTCCAATTGAATTGAAACATATTTTCTGCTCTCTTACAACCATTTCTTTACCGTGCCTAATCTTCATTTACTGTAATGCATTTTTAACCTGATTTATGTTCACTGTTGTTCAATGTGGTCTGTTATTCATTCCTGAGACTTTTGCCAAAAAGAAATGCACAGATATTGTACATAATTGCAATTCTAACTGTCACTTAAATGTCAATATATTTCAAAGGCGATGAAAACTGCTCATTATATTTTGGCAACAAATAATAAATAATTTATAATTTGGATTTCAACAGTTTGGTATTTGATTTACACATTCGTTAGTATAGGAATTGTTTCTTCTACAATTCCTGCCAAATCCTTTCCTGCCAAATTTCTTCTACAATTCCTTGGAATGCCAAGCTGCTAAAGTTTTGTTTATAAAATATGAACGGTTTGGTAATATTGAACGGTTGCGTTCCCTTGCGTCGCGTTGCGATGTTCAGTTCTTTTCCCTAGTTACGGTTCTTATCGCTAGAAGTTGGTGAGATCGTTTTAGGCTCTTCCCTTTTAACTTTCATTTTATTTAAAACGAATTCATATTCTTGAACAGGGTCAGGACAAGTCTTCTTGAAAAATTCATACCTTTTGCTAAGCATCCAGACGTTGATGCTAGAGTTTGTATAGCATTTAGCTTCTTTGCAAATATTGAGGATGATTTTATAGTAGGAATTTTTTCGTGTTACAAAAGAGAGTATTCAGAAACCTTGAAAGAATCTAACTTTGCTGATTCTACTAATCTTGAAAAGGCTATCTTGAAAGCATGTAATATTGAGTATTGAAATGTTGGAACGGTAGAAGATTGGAATGTGTTTTCTATAACCGATATAACTTCATGCTAACAAGTAAATTTGTATTTAATTTGGGTTCGTTGATACCTCATAAATGTCTATCGTATCAAGTCTTGGCTTTGCATACTTCGCTGTGGGTGAGCCAAATAGCAGGGTTGGAATCCTTCGGATCTTGCTCCAATATTTAGGGTTATCATAAGTTCGTTGGGATTTTTCTTGAATATTTTTGGCACAAACACCTTGGCAAACAATCTTTGATATTTTTAAATCAGTTTGAATCTATTTTTGACTTTATCGAATATTATATACTTGAAAATGGCTTTGAAAAAAGCAAACATTTGAGTAAACTAAAGCTTTTTGTCTGACACTCTTCAGAGTTTAAAACGTCAGAACATAGATTGAAAGCTCTACGCTAGGAAATATATATACCCAGTTGTGGATCGAAATAGGCCAATCAGAAACAGGAGCACATGACTGTCGAACCAATGGAGTCCTAAGGTGAAAACTAACTCCTTTTGTCTACACGATAGCGGTTTTTTCGTGCTTATGTAGATAGATTGCAAAACTGCAAGATGGAATGACGATCGGGCTTTACCAATAATCCGAAACATGTCGCCATTATGGGTTTTTTTGCACAATCTGGGTTTTCCAGTAAATGCTGCCCGATAGCAGAATCGCAGGTTTTAGTTCTAATTTTAGATTTGCAAGACCGAGGTGGCTGTTCTCCTTGGGGACGAGTTTTGTTTCTAATATTAGACGCAACATGCTGTTTTTTTCTATCCTCCAGTCTTTGGGTAGTGCGTCTACGTAGCCAGAATCAGACTGGCACGTAAATTCATAAACAACGGAACTTTTTTGTTTGGCAGGAACGCAGTCCTTTTGAATGGAGGGAAGAGCCTTTTTTGTACCATAAACAATGCGTGGATTCACGGCAAAGAAACAATTTGTGATGGCCTGTTTTATCTGTTTTCGAAACGCAAGGAACTGTTACCGATCCAAGGTTCAGATAGACCGGGAACTTTTGTGGATCAAATTTTACGTAAGCAAAAATCAACCATCTTCCCCTTAATGTAAACTGAAATAACATCCTGTAGATAGCCGTGCTCCAGAAAAGAATTTTTAGTTGTTCAAGTTCCGAGTCGAGTTTAGATTTGGAACAAATCATCAGTGCCCTATGTGTAAGCGTTTCGATGAGGCTGGTTTTTCTTTGTTTTGGGCAAAATTAACTCAATCGAGTGTATAACTCCGAAAATGTGGGTTTACGGTATACACTTTTAAGAAATCCACCAACCAAAACATCTAGAAATGACAAGGAGTTATTTTCTTCCTTTTCAAATGTACGGCTGGGTGAAGGCCATTGAGGCGTTTTAGGAAAGTATCACACCATAGTGATCACACTGTTTTGAAGATGGTATATATGTCCTACACGTCTCGAAAATAGACACCTGGCTTTTGGTCAGGGGCGAATCCAGAGCAAA